GCCCATAATGCTCTCGTATGTTATGAGGGATTGCCTCTGAGAAGTTCACCATCAGTACTACATTTTGTTCAATAAAACTTTATATCTGGTCTTAGGATGACAGAAAGCTATCTGTCTCAAATTTGCATTACAAACCTTTAGCTTCTTTTGACATCAGTAACACTGGCTATAATAATTTCCAATAACCTGTCACAATATGCAGAGTATACATATTCCTGGTTCTCATCTTACTGTGTCAGGTACAAACAAATTTCTCTAATCTATTTGGACAGTTTTAAATAAATGACAATTTCTTTGCACCAAAAAAGCACTCACCTAATCAGAGGTTCATTTGAGAAGATCTGTGGCAGTATTTCCTCCTTTCACTCCAATGATTTTAAGTTCTAATCAGAAAAAAGTACCTTTATTCTTTTCCATGCTTTTGCTAGAGGAGACAATACATTGCAATTCAAGATCTTACAAGAATTATTGAAGACTATTTGCTAATCTTATGACATGATGGAAGTCCACCTGAAATCCACTAAGATTGGAACAGTTATCTCCTCAACCATCTCTCCTGATTTCTGAGACATGATAACGTTTGCCTTTTCCATTATAGACACCTCTGTCTGATGTGTTTCACATTAAAAATATTTGAATAGCAGTGTCTAGCATCCCTTGCTATGTTATTAATATTATCTTTCCTCAGCAGACAATGCATCTGATGGTGGTTGAAGACTCCAAAAGGACAGACCTACTTGTGGGATTAACAATGTCTAACACGTCAGAGATCAAACATGTCACTAACAGATCATCATACAGATGGTTAGCAAACCAGCACTACCTGAGCTGAATTAATAAATGGCAACTGAAAAACTGCAACTGAAAAACTGCTTTCTCAATATCATTTGTGTTCTGGCAGCCACATCAAAGAAACAATATTTTTAAGAGTCCGTCTATTAGGCCTGCAGATTTTCAAGTCAACATCAGTACATTTCTTCTTTATCCTGTGTCCTAGTAAAATGCTATTCTGTGTTTGAAAGACAGTTTTACCAGCTACCTGAGGTTTAACCCTCGCCAGCAACCGAGCACCACACAGCTGCTCGCTCACTCCCCCCTGGTGGGGCGGGGGAGAGAATCAGAAGAGTAAAAGTGAGAAAACTTGTGGGTTGAGATAAAGACAGTTTAATAGGCAAAGCAAAAGCTGCGCACATGAGCAAAGCGAAACAAGGAATTCATTCACTACTTCCCATCGGCAGGCAGGTGTTCAGCCATCTCCAGGAAAGCAGGGCTCCGTCATGCGTTAACAGTTACTTGGGAAGACAAACACCATCACTCCGAACGTCTCCCCTTTCCTTCCTCTTCCCCCAGCTTTATATGCTGAGCATGATGTCATATGTTATGGAATATCCCTTTGGTCAGCTGGGGTCAGCTGTCCCAGCTGTGTCCCCTCCCAACTTCTTGTGCACCCCCAGCCTGATCACTGGTGGGGTGGGGTGAGGAGCAGAAAAGGCCTTGACTCTGTGTAAGCACTGCTCAGCAGTAACTAAAACATCCCTGTGTTATCAACACTGTTTTCAGCACAAATGCAAAACATAGCCCCATACTAGCTACTATGAAGAAAATTAACTCTATCCCAGCCAAAACCAGCACAGTAGTGTAAGTAAATTCTGATACCCACCCAGACACACTCACAACAGAAAGTAACTTTTGGACGTAGTAGAAATCGCCACAGAGACATCCAAATACTGAAAGTATCTTAGAGCAAGTCTACAGAGACAGGTATGAGCAAGTTTTGGCCATGCTCAGAGATGATAAGAAACAAACGAGTGCTATTTTGGAAGCTAGTAGTGTTCCCTCTTGTGACTTGCCACGTTCAGATTTGTGCATTCTGCAAGCAGAACAAGCTTATTTGAACTTGCCTAAATAGATTTTAAGTATGTTTTGAATTCTGTTCAGGTACTGAATTAAACTTCTGGGTAATGTAAAACACACCTTTTTTTTTCTCCCTTGGTCCCTTGGATTTAGGAAGAAGGCTGACAAGTTAATGGGCTGTTGTAGATGAAACGTGAAGACCACCTTAAGGCTCAAGAGGAAAACAGGAATACACTATGAGAAACCAGAAGATGTGGTCATCAGAACTTAACAATCTCTAACACCTTGGGCTGGTGTTACAGGCAGGTTAAAATATCACGGGACTCAAAAGAAACACCTGATATTAGTTCTGGTATATTACATCTGTGAAGCACGCTAAAGGACCCACACATTTGCAGGAGCTCTGCCAGTCAAAACTAAAGATTGCCAATAATAACTGGGAAGATAAAACATAGACTATGTAATCTTGCTTATGGACACTGTCTACGGGATACTGAAATGAATGGGAACATCTTGGAGACCTTATACTGTGCTTTTTAAATTGAGAGTTAATATATATGTGTGAGTACATTTTAAATTATGAGAAGTATAATAATAGTACAAAAGACAGACAAGGACATAGTTGAGTAATATGCTGCATCCTTTGGAAAGCTGAAGAGGCTTCACTGGAGACTACATGCCTCTCAAGGCTCCAAGGACACATATTAGCAGAACACTTACATATGTCCCTGTGTCTTAACAATATATTAAAAATTAGTCTTCTGATTTTGAATCAGAAACAGTACATATATAATAGTCTTATATCAGATTGAAACTATCAGTAAGACACAATTCAGCAACAACTATTTTAATTTGAGAAATTGTTTTCAAATATATAGCATATTTCTTCTTCCCATTACATGAACTTTCTAGAAATTTTTCGTAAGTGGAAAAGAAGTTATTTTTAAATTCTTCATCAATGAATTAGTGCTACTTGTAAATTTAATGTATTCTATATATTCCACAGATTTGCAAGAATGTATTTCTTACCAGTGGGGATAATGATAAAATTGCTATAATGACGGGAATTATTATGACAGTGCAGAGATCTGAACACAACCAGAATGAATATATGACAATCACAACAAATCTTTCTATGTCTATGCCACTGGTAGTATAACATGAATGGAAATGAATCAAATTTTTATGTGCACAATTTATACATTAGATTGAACAACATATTTAATAAAGCAAATGAAATTTATTTGGAAGCAATTATTCTATGGCCTGAGAAATATCAGAAAGAAAGCAGGCAAAACGGTAATGTTAATCCCATGCCAGGAACATGTTTTATCAGGTTTCCTTTTAGCTCTTAAACAAGATGTAGCAAAACCAACAACATTCTGTCAGACTATATGTTCATTCCTTGCTTCCTGGATTAAATATGCTTATTCTATGCCACATTTTTATAGCTTTCAATTCCTGTACTTTAAATCTATTAAACAATGTCAAGTTGAGTTTTCTTCAAAAACTGCTGCAGGTTAAGAAAAAAAAATAGGACAGTAGAATATTTGAGGGCTAACATTTATGTCAGCTAATTAATATGGATCAGTTGTGGTCTGCAAGGATTTTTAAAGTGCATGCATGTTTGAGATAAATATAGACTAAGGATATGATTTTGTTCCTTCTCAAATTGGTAACAAAGCTCTTACTGATTTCAATACAGGTATGGTCTATGAGTTTTGTAGGCCTGACAGATAAAATAAGCTTTTGTGTTCTTGCATTGTTAGTTGTCCCAAATTGAGCATAGCCCAAAATACAGATGTACAACATAAGAAATAAATTATAGTTGCAACATTATATTTATTGTTCTGTATTCTCTTTACTTGATAAGGAAATGAGATTTTGAATAAATAAACATTGGGAAAAAACCAGTAAATTTGTTTGGTTAGCAAGTTCTATTTAAGTAAATTGGTAAGGAATCAGCCTATGTTCAAAACTGGACACTCTCTAATCTAGAGGATACAACACCATTTCCTTGTTTTAAAACACTAATATTTTGTTATTTATTCTCAAAAGAGTGCCTGTTAGCACACAGAATTTGGTTATTTGAACACAGTTTTAGATCATGACAAAAAAAGGCTAGCAAATGGACAACTGTTCAAAGACTTTTATGCAGAAGGTTTATTCTCCCTATGTTCGACCCTGAGGTGACTGGATTTCTCAGCAACTTCTCTTTCATGGAATCACAGAATAACTCAGACTGAAGTGAGATCGTCTAATCCAACCTCTTTCTCAAAGTCAGGTCAGCTGTGAGATCAGAACAAGTAATCCAGGGCTTTGTCCTGTTTGGACTTCCAAATGTCCAAGAATAGAGCCATTCTATATAAGAAGCACCCCTGGTCACCAGAAAAAGAACAAATGTATCTTAATCATAGAAACATAGAATGATTTAGGTTGGAAAAGACCTTTAAGATCGAGTCCAACTGTAAACCTAACACTGCCAAGTCCACCACTAAACCATGGCCCTAAGCACCACATTTACACGTCTTTTAAATACCTCCACGGATGGTAACCCAACCACTTCCCTGGGCAGCATGTTCCAAAGCTTGACAATCCTTTTGGTGAAGAAATTTTTCCTAATATCCAATCTAAACCTCCCCTGGTGCAACTTGAGGCCATTACCTCTTGTCCTATCATTTGCTGCTTCGGAGAAGAGACCAACACCCACCTTGCTACAGCCTCCTTTCAGGTAGTTGTAGAGAGCGATAAGGTCTCTCCTGAGCCTCCTTTTCTCCAGACTAAACACCCCCAGTTCCCTCAGCCACTCCTCATAAGACTTGTGCTCCAGACCCTTCAGCACCTTCGTTGCCCTTCTTTGGACACGCTCCAGCACCTCAATGTCTTACGTGTAGTGAGAGGCCCAAAACTGAACACAGTATATGAGATGCAGCCTCACCAGTGCCAAGTACAGGGGGACGATCACTTCCCTAGTGCTGCTGGCCACACTATTCCTGATACAAGCCATATAATAGTGACCTTCTTGGCCACCTGTCCTTGAAAGGCACTTCTAAAATGTCTTCTTCCAATGAAACCTTTTGTAGAAGTAAACAAAAATTACCTTATGCTTAGTATTAACACCTGGTTTCTGTCATCGTAAGTCTTACCTGTTTGTAGTGTTTCAGCATCAAAGATATCTGCCTTGAAGAAAGCTCTAAAAGACAAAGGACTTGCACTGTGGTCTTCTGAAAGTTTCTCAACAGCTTGTCTAAACATAGAAACTAAGTCATGAAGAGGTCCATCTAAATCAAGCTGAGAAGCGGATGGTGAAATCAAGCTCAGACGTACAGAGATTGATGCGCAAGGTGCAGAACTAGACTCCACAGATTCACACTCAATTTGGAAGTCCTTTGACAACATCTTCGTTGCAAAATGTTTTCTTTGGAGTGGATCATCAACTACTGCAATAACATGCCATTCAATGGCAGCATCTCTGGGTAGGTGAGATATTACAACCACAGCAAGCAACCCACACACTGCAGTTACATCATGATACATCTCTGAATCTTCAACCTAAAAGATAAACAAAATATTGTGCGTATTACAGAGCTGGTAGAAATTAATGTTGCTCATATTCATTGATATATTCCAAAAAGTATGTGCAGTAGTTATTTCATGGAGACTGTTTTTCCCCTAAACTTTCCTTCTTATTGAAAAGTCATCTTGAGCAATTATGGATTTGTCTGACAGTTAATATCTGCTCATTTTTTCAATCTCAAACTATTATGCCTGTACCATTTTAAAAAATGCTGATCATCATGTATTTTGCACTGATTTTGCAATTAAAAAAAGTCTTTTTGTATACAGTAACTTTTGTCCGTACCAATGGTCTTTGAAGAATAGAAATGGTAGGAACTACCAAAACTACAGAAATTAGTAAAGCACATAAGATTTATTTCAAAAGTTGGAGTACTAAAGGTACAGTTCAGATACAGCAAAGATACAGTTCAGATAGTTCTGAACAGCAGTATGATCTTCAACAAACCCTCTTAGAAGATAAAACATGTTTTCTTAATAGCAGAGCTCATTTAGAAAATATATTTAAATCGTTTTCACATCAACCAGCACATCTAATTAGCTAACTTGGTAAGCTAACTCTGAGTAACTGAGTTCCTTTTCTTCTGATGGTATTAAAGAAGTAGGACAGGTTTTCTGTTTTCTTCTTTGTAAAAATTTTAGTATGAATTGCACTGTAGCATGTTAACAGGTATAGAAAGTGAATATAATGTTTCAAAATACTGAAACACTCTTCCATGAGACAGAGGAAGAAATTGTGAATTTGTAGCCATTTCAACCCAAATTAATTGTACCTTTGTGCATTAAATAGCATTACCTTTGAATCTTAACTAACCTGAGTTTATAAAAGAATTATCTTGTCCCTGTATTGTTGCTATGTATTCAATCCTTTTTCACCTGAATACAAACAAAAACAACCTTAGAGCTTCAAACTAGGAACAATACATTGCGGTGGGATGACTCCATCCAGCAGCTGAGCACCACACAGCTGCTTGGTTACTCCTTCTCTCCCCAGTGGCACAGGTGAGAAAACTTGTGGATCAAGATAAAAATGGTTTAGTAAGTGAAGAAAAAAGGAAGAAAAAAGGAAGAAGCAAGCAGAAAAAGAAACCAAGCAAGGCAAAGGCTATTACTCAACACCTCCCCACCAGCAGACTGATACTCAGCTAGACTGTGAGCAATGGCTATCCTCACAAAGACCTCTCCCCTTAGTTTTTATGGCTGAATATGATGTTATATTGAAAGAAATATCTCTTTGGTCAGTTGAGGTCAGCTGTCCCAGCTGTGTCCCCTCCCAGCTTCTTGTGTGCCCCCAGCCTGCTCAGTGGCAGGGCAGTATGACAAGCAGAGAAGGCCTTGACGCTGTGTAAGCGCTGCTCAGCAATAGCTAAAATCCCTGGTGTGTTATCAACGCTGTTTTGGTCCCAAATCCAAACCAGAGCACCATGCAGGTTGCTATGAAGAAAGTTAACTCCATCCCAGCCAAAATCAGTACACACATTTAGGTCTGCTGTTACCTTATACTTAAATACATATACTTATACTCCTATTATGTATACAACAAGGTCTATTTATGGAAAGCAACCCCATTTTATGATATACATACTCTCTAAAAGTATGAATTTACATTAACTTATCTGAACACACACTGCTCTCTGAACACACTTTTTTTTTTTGAACAACTGTTCAAATAGTTGAACAGTTGAAATGCTTATTCTGGCCAGCAGATATTTTTTTTTTTCTTACTTTTTCCTCCATTGTCATGGAAAGACAATATATTAAGCATTTTTAATGTTAGTGACTTACACCATCTTCTTTGTATACACAGATAATAACTTTTTTTATATACCAATTTGCTTACACTGCAGTATATACTGGTAATATTGTCCATTGCCTGAACTCTGAAAAGAAAAATAATAACAAGGCAAACCTGTCATTTTGCCTGAAGTCGATAAGGCCATATAACTCACAGTACCTTCAATTCACAAGCTCAATTTTCAACCACTCGCTCTCAACTTTGAGAGAAAGAAATAATGACAGGTTACAGGCACTTTATTTCAGAATTCACTCACAAAGTTATTGACAAGCATTTTGCACAGAATATCTTTGATGCTTGACCCTCGTGAGCTGTTTACATGAAAAATGCACTTACTTCTATATTAACGATAGTGGAGTCTAATTCTATACCAAACATGTAGCAATTGCTTTAGCATTTCTGGTTTTGATATGGGAACAAAAATAGGGATAATTTGTCTCAAATTGCAGTCACTTCAGTCATAATAAAATCTCACTGAGTACTGTTTGCTTTCAGTACTTTCATTAGGCTAGCTGGGGCTGTTATTAAGCTACCAACACATAAATGTTATATTAGCACTTAACAGGAGGAGCACAGTATTCTCCTCTAGGAGATGAATTCTAACCTTGTCAATATAATTCTGCTCTGAGTGCTGTAAAACAGTTTGAAAGATGAAATACCGGAGCTTTGCACTGAGGAAAAAAAAAAAAGTCATGCTCATTCAGGCTTAAAGGCCACTTTGCTGGCCCAAGGTGCTGAGGTACTGTTTAGAAAAAAAGTCTAAAGCAGCTCTCTCAGGTCACATCAAGCACTAAGACAAACTTTTCTACTTCCTTGTACTTGTCTTAGGTTGTTAAATCAATTACTCACTATTTCTGCTTGCCTTCAGCTGCCATTTAGAATATGAAGAACTACATGAAAATTAAGGCCAGGAGAAAGTACATTTCCAGATTTAACAAATGAGAATCATTTTGAGTGAAAGACTATTCATGGTGCACCTGAACAGTACCATAGCACTCATAACCTTTAAGTTTAGAGTTTGCACAAAGCACAAGTGATGAAGCTACTGGGGACTAATAATCTTTCATCAGCTGCTATAGAATCTTACAGAAATACTTCTAACAATGACCTCTCCTGACTTATTTTCAAGAAATCGCTGACATTTGTGTTGTACATGGATGCTGCATTTATGAGTTACCTTTCAGAAATTTACAACTGTCTTAAACAGCTGAATATCTTTATAATAGCCTGTTTAGTAAATGAGGATAGATATATAAGGTCTGCTAAGAAATTCTATTCATATGATGCTGGAACAATATAGGTAAATATTAAGAGTTAAAATGAAAAGGAATTATTTTATGACTAAGTTGCTCTTTACAATTGATTCTGCTCTCTCATCAATGAGATCCAGCACTTTTCGCAGACGGCTGTAGTACTATGAAGAAAAACATATTTTTAGGGTTCTTGCCCAAGGATACTGCTGTAAACTGTTCTATAAAGGAGCACAGCTTTTGGCCTACTCCTTTTACATCTTCACAGTCTTGGGGAAGAAAAAATTGAGGCAGAAGAGGAAGCAGTTTGGCTTGTAATTCTTGAAAAAGAAGTGACAAATAATTCTTGGGAACCTTTGTAAAATTTTTATTACTGAGAGATAAGAAAACACTGCTGGGCAAACACTGTGGAAACCAGTGATTCCTTAAAGTATGTTTGACCTGAATTTTACAAATCTCTGCAAATTTCATTAGGCTGTAGGTGTAGCTGTCATCTAAAGGTACTTGCCTTTAAAGACTTATCTCCTAGCTATCAGTATTCAAATGACTTTCAATTCATGGGAGAGGGTCTGCCTGTTGAAGATCCCCATTCCCAGCTATTAGCTTTTCTACAGGCTTCAATCCTTTCTAAGAGCAAATACGGCAAGGTAACTTGGCACCAGGAAAAGTTCGGATGCCACAGAGGAAAACAAGCAGATTGTAAAGGTTCATTGCCTGACTGCTGAGATAATATGGAGACAGACGCTACTTCTGTGCTATGCTTTTACATGATCTGATTCAAAGAGGGCTGGAGAAGCAAGGGAGGTGACATCCTTTTGCTGTGCAGGAGACAGCCTCTGAAAATAAATGACTCTGTAACAAAGTCTTCTTTCAGGAATGGATGCAAACTGGATCATCTCAGAGGCCACACTATGACAGGATTCTGATTCTGTCATGCTATGAAATGGTAGATCCCAAAGCTTTGGACAACGATTGGATATGACAAATGCTTTAGCTCTTACTGAATCTCATGTTAGACTGTCCTCAAAACATGATTCATAATATCCTCCCTCTGCCAACAGGATCATCTGCTACTCAATTTATCAAAGGTGGAAAAGATGGGATCCCAGAAAGTTTCGAAAAGGAAGCCAAAAAGTAGATTTTTCTAAATACATGCAGTGTATCTATATCATTCCCTATCCAGAGGACTATGAACACTCTCATTTTTTAACACTTTGCTTTCAAAAAAAACCACAACTCAACAAAGGACTTTTCTCAGCATGAAAATACCAGTATTCTTCTGGTGATACAATACACACTTCAGGATCTCAGGGGAAAAACAGAAGGTACGGAGTAGATTTTAGGAGGACTGAGAACGTGACTCTGTTATTTACCAGAAATTTTATAATACCAAAGTAGGTTGATGCCATATTACTGTAAACCCTGAGAAGAGTGCCATGCTAAGCTAAGTACCACCCTGCAAAGTCTTCCTGGACTGGTTAATAAAGAATCACAGCAGCTGACAGCAGTCAAGAAAGCAAGTAAAACGTTATGAATTTTTAGGAAAGGAATAGAGAGCAAAGTGGGTAACATTATGCCACTGTAGAAATTCACAGTTCACCTGCACCTTGAGTAAGATATACAAATCTGGATCTCTCAATGGAAAAATGACATATTAGACCCAGAACGTGTTCAGAGGAGGACAACAAGGATGATCAAAAGCTCTGGAGGGTCTGACTGGAAATGTTCTCCAGCCTTCTTAGGGAAAATGTGACAAAGGTTTACAAAATCATACATGACATAAAAAGGGTGGATAGGGATACGGATTGTTTTTGCAGGCTTGTCTTTCTGTACAAGAAGTACAGATCATCAAATGACATTAGTAAGAGCATGGTTTCAAAAAGAACAATGGTGAGTGACACCTGGAATTCCTTGATGGAGAATGCTGTCAT